CAAAGTCACAGTGCACCACAAAGCCCCTTTGCACCATGAGGAAAGTCTAGAGTTCCAGCACACCAGGAAGGCCTTTTGCACCATATGGAGCCCAGTCCCAGCCTGGGCCAGCAATATGACATAAAATCACTTGAGCCCTGAGAAGCCCCAGCCTAGTCCCAGCCACAGTAGCTTATTTCCATGCAATCTAAGACCCCTGCTGCCCTACACTCTGCTGTTCCAGCTAATTTTTATCATTTTTGTGCTCCTGCTGCTGCTAAGGCATACCCGTCATACTCCTTCATGAGGCAACTGGCTGTCACGTGAGGCCATCTTCCCCTGATCTCACAAGGAAACTGCCATGTGTGTCCTTGGGAAAAGAGCTTGTATGGCCAGTAACTGCCTCATGTAGGAGCAGGCCTGGCATCTTTAGTCAGCAGCAAAAGTAAGAAGTTGAAAGTCAAGAGACATAGATGTGGGGAGAGAGACATAAGCAGATGAGGAGAACTGAAGCACCTCTGCCAAGCGCCTGAGTTTTGATCACATAACTTTGGGGACTGATCCTAAGTCCCTTTATTCAATGCCATTTTAACTTCAGTCACTGAATAAGTGGTTGTTAAGTTGAGGATTACCTGTATGTCAAGAGAAGTCTACAGATTTCCATAACTGTTAATTTCAAGTTCTATCATTCTTCATTTCCATTTGTATGTGGAAAGATGTTGGTACTTTATATTCAGAGGCCCTCAGTTTCATCCATCATGAATTACAGTAATCAGAGATACACTGATTTCACTATAAGCTAATTAAAACTAGCCATTATATAATGCAGTGGGCCATACATGGGGAACTACTTCCTGACAGAAATGTGCTGGTTTTCTTTGCTGTTGGTTTCAAGTAGTAGTAGTAGTAGTAGTAGTAGTAGTAGTAGTAGTAGTAGTAGTAGTAATAATAATAATAATAATAATAATAATAATAATAATAATAATAATAATAATAATAATAATAAAGTTGGAAAGGATCTTGGAGGTTATCTAGTCCAACCCCCTGCTCAGGCAGGAAACCCTATATCATTTCGGACAAATGGCTGTCCAGTCTCTTCTGAAAAACTTCCATTGTTAGAGCATTCACTGCTTCTGGAGGCAGGTTGTTCCACTGGTTAATTGTTCTAACTGTCAGGAAGTTTCTCCTTAGTTCTAGGTTGCTTTGCTCTTTGATTAGTTTTCATCCATTGCTTCTTGTCCTGCCTTCAGGTGCTTTGGAGAACAGCTTGACTTCCTCTTCTTTGTGGCAGCCTCTGAGATATTGGAACACTGCTATCATGTCCCCCATCATCCTTCTCTTCGTTAAACTAGACGTACCCAATTCCAGCAGCTGTTCCCTATATGATTTAGCTTCCAGTCCCCTAATCATCTTTGTTGCTCTTCTCTGTACTCTTTCTAGAGTCTCAACATCTTTTTTACATCATGGTGACTAAAACTGGATGCAGTATTCCAAGTGTGGCCTTACCAAGGCATCGTAAAGTGGTATTAATACTTCACGTGATCTTGATTCTATCCCTCTGTTAATATAGCTTAGCATTGTGTTGGCCTTTTTGGCAGCTGCAGCACACTGCTGGCTCATATTTAAGTAATTCTCCACTAGGACTCCGAGGTCCCTCTCACAGTTACTACTATTGAGCCAGGTACCCCCTATACTATACCTGTACATTTGTTTTTTCTTGCCTAAATGTAGAACCTTACTTTTTTCACCATTGAATTTCATTTTGTTAGATAGTGCCCAGTGTTCAAGTCTGTCCACATCCTCCTGTATCTTGAGCCTGTCTTCTGGAGTGTTGGCTATTCCTGCTAGCTTGGTCTGCAAATTTGATGAGTTCCCCATCTATCCCCTCGTCCAAATCGTTGATGAAGATGTTGAAGAGCACTGGGCCCAGAACAGAGCCCTGGGGCATCCCACTACACACTTCCCTCCATGTAGATGTGGTTCCATTGAGGACCACATGCTGAGTATGTCCGGTAAGCCAGCTACGGATCCATCTGGTGGTGATGCTGTCTAACCCACATTGTTCTATCTTATCAAGTAGTAGGTTGTGATCTACTTTATCAAATGCCTTACTGAAGTCCAAGTAAATTATATCCACAGCATTCCTCTGATCCACTAATTTTGTCACTTGGTCAAAGAATGCAATAAGTTTTGTCTGGATGATCTGTTTTTGACAAACCCATATTGGCTTTTAGTAATGACTTTGTTTGCCTCTAGTGTTTGCTGATTCGTTGTTTGATTATCTTTTCCAGAATCTTCTCAGGTATTGAGGTCAGGTATTGATAGGTCTGTAATTTCCTGGGTCCATTTTCCCCCCTTTTTTTGGAGATGGGAACTACATCAGCTCTTTTCCAGTCCTCCGGTAGTTCCCCAGTGCTCCAGGATCTTTGAAAAATATAGTTCAATGGTTCTGAGATCACATCTGCCAGTTCCTGGAGAACCTTGGGGTGTAACCCATCTGGTCCTGGTGATTTGAACTCATCTAGGCTGCACAGGTGCTCACTTACCACTTTCTTGCCTATCTTAACTTGTGTTTCTATTCTCTTTTTAATAGCTAAACAGACATTCAGCAAAAGGAGGACATATCCTACTTTTTGTCCTTAGGTCCTTCGTCCCAATGCCACAGCTTTAAAATCAATTGTCCAGCTTTCTGAGTTTCTTTGTGGGTAGTTTTTTTCTGAAAGGGATGCTATTTCCATAGCAGTCATTCAAATTTTTTGTACTATGACTCTCTAAATTGTCTGTTTCCATCATACATTGATAGACTTCACAGCCTAGATTTACATTATTTCCTGATTCCAACAATTGGCTTCAATCCAGTCCTTTCAAATCTATGATCACTATAATCTGTAGATCACATGACTTGTTATACATTTCTGTGGTGAACTTTGAAAAGTGCATCATTGTTGATTCTATATTAATATAGAGTCGGTAATATAGAGTGATCTTGAAAATAAAGATTTGTTGGAAAATTGTGACTGGAAAACTAATCTTTTTGATGCTTGAAAAAGTAATATCCTATACATGTACATCTGTACTGTAAGTACACTTTTTTGGAGTGTTTCACAGTAATTTTTGTTTCTAAAGAAAAACAGTTAGTGTCTCCTCCTCCTACCCCCACATGGACCCTCACCCTTAACCTCATGTCCAATTATCTGGCTTTTCCTTTCAATGTTCAGGTATGTGACATCCTAATTTCAAAGAATAACATCACAGTATTCTTATTTTGTGAAGCATTTTCTGAATTTTACTGCTTTGAAACTGCTGGCTGCTACATTTCCTTTGTTTCCTTCTAAAATCGTTTTATATATTGGAGTTCTGTCTAGTTGCTTGGAATTGAATTGCAGGTCCTTAACAGGAAAAGAAGACATGAAAAAGAAGGTATCAATACATACATTCTTGTAAAAGAAAAATCCTGTTACATAGTTGTTGGCACAATCCAATATGTGCCCATATGTGGCATCAGACAGGATACTCAAAGGGATGGTTTCAAAAATTGAATATTCTTAAATTTACTCTAAACAGAAGTACAATATGAATATAGAGTACATTGAACCTAAGAAGAACAGATTTGCACTTTTGTAGTTTTGAAATATATTATCTGGTAGAAGCAAGAAAATCATTGTAATCCAAGCACTGATTTTTATCTTTCTTACCACTTATAATTGGAGCCCCCAAATAAACAAAAATGCACTTTTCCCTTACAGTATTCTTTTCAATCTGTTTTCCTCAGGAAATTGCTATTAGTTACTCAGTTTGGTATAGTGGTTAAGGCATCAGGCTAGAAACTGGGAGACTATGAGTTTGACTCCTGTCTTGGGCACAAAATCCGCTAGAAGACCCTGGGCCAGTCACTCACTCTCAGCCTAGGAAGGAAGCAATGAAAAACAGTTCTGAAAAACCTTGCCAAGAAAACTACAGGAACTTGTTCAGTCAGTTTCTGAGAATAGGACACAACTTAACAAAGGGGGGGGGGGGGAATCCTTATAGTGGCTTTCCAAATCTAAATCACACAAATGTCTCAGATCAGATCCTCATGTGTCAGGAAGAAGAATACTCACAACTGCTTTCCTCTTTTGCTATTCAACAAGACCATTCTCTGCCCTTCACAGAAATCAGTAGAGCCACTGGAGAAAAAAGCCAGCACAAAATCTTTACAAGGTAGTGGAGAGAGAATGTGCATAGAACATTGCTCCACTTCATCTAACCATATCTTACATCCAAGAAATAGTTTTTCTTCATTGTTTTTCTGCACTGATATCAATGACAAAATAAGCTGTAAGTGCGGGGAATTCCAATGTCAGAAATAATTCTTGAAATTTACATTTCAACTGATTTGTTTTTCTGCCTCAAATGAAAAGTTCTGGCCTCTAATTTCACCTCTGATCAGTCTGATTTTTCCAAATATTGAACCATATATTGGATGGAGTTGCTTCTGAGTATGTGGTCTAGGGGAATTCTATCTTTTTCCAAAGACTTCTGAGCCAATGTAGTAAACTACCATCATTGCTTTCTCCTAGGAATGGGAAAAATACAGAGATCTAGGAAAGAAATGTTCCAGAATATTCCCCAATGTTCTATTTCTCCTCTCTACCATCAAACAATCTTGTTTCCCCTCTGGAAAGCCATTATGACCAACTATCCAATGAGAAAGACAGGAAGGACAGGCAAACATAATTGTCATTATTTTTATATCTATACTAATGGCACATTATTATTATACAAAATTTTCTATTGATCATTTTAGGAGTCTTATCCAGTAAAAAGCAGAATAAAATATTTCAATTTAATAATTGAATGAATTACTTAATGCAAGCACCAAATCATACTTTGCCAAAGTTATAAAAAAAACCTCAGAAACCTGTATATTTAGCCCACTCACTGGATACCAGTTTTTCCAGCCAGCAAAGATTTTGAGACCCACTCAATTCTCCCAAGAATTGAGCCATCCAGCTTTTTTTCTCATATCCCCCATTCCTCACCTGTGGGAGGGCAATGTTGAGTTGACGCTGAAGTGACTCCTTCTCATGACCCAATTCACGCAGGCGGAGTTGGGAGGTAGCCAAACTTTCCTGGGTGTCACGCAAAGTCTCCAGTAGCCGTTCTCGTTCATTCAACATGTTGACCATGAGTTGCTCGAAATTGGCATCATCGGCCCCATAAGCCGAACCACGGCGGTTGTCCTCATTAATGGTTGGCATCACTTCGCACATCATCATGCCAAGTAAAGTGGGGAGGGATGCCCCGAGGCTCCTCTAGAAAAACAGAAGAGTACCTCTAGATTCTGAAAAAAAGAAAATAAAAACTTTCAAATATCACCTGGGAAAATGAGAATCTGTACTAAAAGAATCAAACCAGAATGTTGATTTTAGATAGCCATTGATGGGATAATAGTTTAAGAAAGAACATTTACTTTGCACAATGAGAGTCCCAAGTTTAACTGCAAGCTATTTGATTAAAAGGATTGACTGAATAGAAACTAATGGAAGAAGCCATTCCTTAAGACAATGGGTTATTACTGCCATTTGGGACAATTACATTGACCAAGTTGAGCTATCAAAACTGTAAGTGGACTTCTCCAAATGATGTAAGCTACAATTTCCAGCATTCCTCACTATTGATGAGGAAGTTGAAACTGAAGAAAAATCAAACAGGTCATATGATTTCCTCCCTGATTTACACCAAGAATTTCTCAGTGCCTCTTGAATGAAAGACTCAATGATTTTCCCAAATAATTCACTGTTAATATGAGAATTGTCTTGGATTTGCTGACAATATGATAATAAAGGCAGATGAGCCTTTAGAGGAAATGGCTTAAATTCAGATCACTTTCCTGGCAGTGTTAGGATAGTCTGAGTTGATGCAGGAAGCAGAGTGGCAAAGTGGTAAATAGACACTCAGAGAATATTTTAGGGCAGTGGTGGCAAAGCTATGGCACGTTTACCAGAGGCGGCACTCAGAGCCCTCTCTGTGGGCACGCACAGAGTTCACCAGAGTAGCGAGCATGTGGCGTTTGGAAGCAATGGGGTACGAAGTGAGAGAGCAAGTGGCGTTGTCCCCCTAGGGGTGCCCCAGAGATGGTGAGGGACTGGTCCCTGCCACCCTGGTCCTGGCCCATCCACCCCGGCCATGTCCATCCAGTCTGCCGTGATCACCGCAGCTGTGACCACCGCAGCCATGCCCACCCAGTGGCCATGCCCACCCAGTGGGCCACCCCCCCCCCCGAGAGCACCACAATGCGAATGAAGACCTGGCACTTTGCAATAAGTAAGTGGGTTTGGGGTTGCAGTTTGGGCACTCGGTCTCTAAAAGGTTGGCCATCACTGTTTTAGGGAACAGGAAGAAGGGTTATGGATCCTAAAAAGGAAGGCTTGAAGCCTGTTGCCAAACCCCACCATAGTTTCAAACATTTGACGTGGCAAAATAAATTGAACTCAGACAGCTATAAATTCTAGTCTAGAAGTATAGCTCGTTGGTGGTGGAAAAGCTTACAGCCACAGGGTCTGGAATCAGCAGACAAGACAACACACATATTTCTGCTAATTTATTGCAAATGGGAATAATGGGATCAGGGATGTTACTACAGTCAGTGTTGCACTTTTGTCACCATCTCCCAAGTGAAAATATCGGTTCCTCTTCAACATTGAGCTGCTAATGGAGAAGAAGAATGAAAGGATAAGAGAGCTTGAAATAATTAACTTTGTGGGCAGATGGAGAAAGACACAAAATCATGTGGCAGGCATGAAGTTCAGCCGGTTGAGGAACTAGAGATGCCAGAAACCAGTCCAGCCTCACCCAGCCTTGATTTCCAACCCCATTTCAGGGCAAGTCAATCTCTAGATCGATCATTCCATCCTGTGCAGATGCTTTGAACAGCAACTCCTATCATTACTAACTAGTGGTTACAGTACCTAGGAAAAGGTTGGTTTTGTAATCTAAAATAGATAAAGGCAATTAATTGGGAAAGTGTCGTGGACCCAATTCAGTCTCAATTCTGTGGGCCATAAATTAGCTAATTTCCAGGAGTTATATAGCCACTCCTTCACGTCTAGAAGTATAGCCCAATAGTCATATATCTCTAAATGCATATCTTAGTTAAGCAAAGTAAGGTTAAAACAAACAACAAACCAAACACTTCTTCCCTGTCTAGTAAAACTGGTGGATTGCTTAGGATCCATATAGGTCTTTTTAATATTCAGAACATAATGTATATTTAATAATAATAATAATTGGGCCTTTCCATAGGATAACAGTTTAGAAAGGCAAATAATATGGTCAAAGAACTGATTTTTCTTTTGGTTTAGCATACTACAGAGTTGTAAATTTTGTACTGAGTAATGAAAATTGTGCAAGATGCTTACTAGATGTCCATCAAACCGGTTTCATTCTGTACTTAGTCTTAAATTTATTCTAATACACTAGATTCTGCAAAACATTGTAACAAACATTCCACATTATTTGGTTTAGAGAACTGGTTTGTTGTTAATTGCAAAGTCGTGTCCGACCCATTGCGACCCAATGGACAAAATTCCTCCAGCCCTTCCTGTCCTCTACCATCTTCTGGAGTCCATTTAAGTTCACACCTACTGCTTCAGTGACTCCATCCAGCCATTTCATTCTCTGTCGTCCCTTTCTTCTATTGCCCTCAATCTTTCCCAGCATTAGGCCCTTCTCCAGTGAGTCCTTCCTTCTCATTAGGTGGCCAAAGTATTTGAGTTTCAACTTCAGGATCTGGCCTTCTAAAGAGCAGTTGGGGTTGATCTCTTCTAGGACTGACCGGTTTGAATGCCTTGCAGTCCAAGGGACTTGCAGGCGTCTTCTCCAGCACCATAATTCAAAGGCCTCAGTTCTTTGGCTCTCAGCCTTTCTTATGGTCCAACTTTCAATGAAGCTATAAGCTATGCCATGCAGGGCCACCCAAAACGGACAGGTCATAGCAGAGAGTTCTGACAAAATGTGATCCACTGGAGAAGGAAATGGCAAACCACTCCAGTATCTTTGCCATGAAAACCCCATGGACAATACTAAAAGAGAACTGGTACCTTTTAGTTAATAGGAAAGAACCAGAAATATGTATTTTTTTATAAAATTCAGCTGGGTCTTTAAGAGGATTGTATTATTTGCTGATTTATGTATTACATAATTAAATCTCATTTTTTTCTATTGAGTTTTTACCATTTTACATGTTACTATTTATTTTTTAAATATTTATTCTAGGCTTTGTATATTTAAAATAAAAAATTAAGACACAACATATGTTACAAATAGAATAGCAACCAGAAATAATTAAATTATGTTGTCGTAAGCTCTCAAATGCTAAGATAAACAAAAATGTTAACCTAACAATAAAATTGTAAAATTGTATCAGCTATTGTAGAAAGTAAAGGTATAAATTGCTGTGTTCATACAACTCACAGAACCATAAACTCACTGATCATACTTTAATCATCTATGTGCAGCAAATTCAACCCATCTAGTTAATTTATGACTCTATATGCCATGTAAATTCAAACTTTGAAAAATCTGATAAATCATGGACAATTATGGGTAGTGCCTATTGTCTGAACTTACCTATAAGTAAATAGTAAAGACAAGAACTGTAGGAAAAGGCATGGCTGAAAATTATAAGGGTCTCCATGTGGTCTCTATTGCAATATTTTCATTATAGACAGACTAGACTCCTATGAGGAAGTTGCCAGGAACAGTATAGCATATTGTTGATCCAAATTTCTGTACAACTTAATCCTGTGCCAATTATTTGGGTAGAGAGCTGTCATTCCTGTTCTGTGTGCTAGTACTATGCACATAGATCAAATATGCACAGAAGGTAGAACAGGATTTACTGGTAGGTCTTTGGATGATACGCAATAGATCAGCAAAGTTTTTGACTTAGCAGCAGTTTAACATAAGCAAATAAAATGGAAAATTAAATTACAGTAAAATCTGCGAAGTGTAGTTTTATGCTAATCCTGTATTACTAAAAATACTAAAAGTACTACTTAGTTGTGTTTGGAACTCTGCTTAAAATTAGGGAAGTCTTATGTTCAAATCTCCTGATCTATATAATTTAGATGTAGTTTCTATTCACACACAAAAGTAGTAAAACAGAATACAAGTAGTCTTTGACTTACAACTGTAATTGAGCATAGAATTATGGTCGTAAATTGTGGCAATCACCATATGACTCTGCCTGATTTGAACAACCATTTTTGTGATGGTTATTAAGCAAACACTGAAATAGTTAAATCTATTTTATCCAATAGATTTGGAAACAATGGAACCCCCCCCCCCCAAAAAAAAACAAGCCAGCAAAAACCATAATTGTATGATGGCCTATATGTGAGCCAATTGCCAACCAGTCAAAATACAATTATGTGGCTATGCGGGGGCGGGGGGAGTACACAACCATCAGAATTTTAGAACTACCTTTTTGGAACACATTATAACTTTGAATTGTTCCTATGTGACTAGTTGTTAAGTAAGGACTACCTGTAAACCTCACTATGCCTTCTATTTTCCTCCTGCAGTCCAATTTTTAATCAGTCTTTGATCAGTGGATTTTCATAGTAAAATGAACAAGCCAAAAAGAAGTTATTAAAGCATAAAATATGTCTACTTCTGATCATAATTAATTATACCAACAAATAATCCAACACAATTCTCTTCTCTCTCTCTCTCTCTCTCTCTCTCTCTCTCTCTCTCTCTCTCACACACACACACACACACACACACACACACACACACACACACTCACACCCCTAATGCCCTGCAAAAATTGATTGGCCATTTTGGGGATTGAAACCTAACTCCTCTGGAAGAAAGTAGGTTGGGGAAGAGTGTCAGGGCAATTGTCTTATTCACCACACATTTTAATATTCTTACCTTCCTTTACCCCATTCTCTTACAATATAGGAAGTGGGGTCAGAATCAGCATGCACATAACAAATAAATGAAACAACTTTAATTACTGGGTGGCTCAGATAATAGCTATGTTTTCCAAGCCTGATGCTTGCATTCATACAACATGCTTGGTACCACATGTGAACTCAGTCAAGATAAGGGGAGGGAGGAAAGGATTAACTCTCATCTGTCACATCTTCCTAAATCATTTCCTCTGACCCACAATAAATTCCTTTATCCCTGCCCTTCACCCTTCTCTTCAAGAAGAGTGATGCTTATATCCTGCCAAAGGAAAGGAAGGAAACAGAACAATCGAAAAAGAATTGGTATAATTTAAATACACAAGGCATCTTGCCACAATGGGAAAAAGAAAGTCAGTTGAGGAGACTATCCAAGTGCTAGTAATGGCAGCTTCAAGCCTTTTATTTTCTTACAAATCTTTCCATGTGAAACCAGGTTGGGATCAACAATCCTTGAAAAAGACAACTGTATTTTATGAATTATGAGACATGGCCTCTTGTTAGCAGTATCCTCCTTTTCTTTTTATTTATGTAATCATTTGGCACTCTGGATAGAGAACCTAATTGTGAACATGGCACTTCTTCTAAAAAATAGCTATCTCTGTTCATGCTGAATTGAATCTTTGTCTTAAAATATCTCCAATTTTGTCAGTTCACACATTTTCTCCACCACCATTATGACAATATTCCTGCTTCTTCACCTTCTGTCAAGCTGTGCACTAGGTCTAGAACAGCCTCCCTATTCAGGCCCTTCTCAAAACCTGTCTCTTCTACAAAACGTAACTAATGCAGAAACTACATCTTCATATATTTTCCTTTTTTGTTTGCTTTCGTGAAATGCTTTTGATTCAAATATTATTTCAACTGGACCTGCCAGGCAATTTCAGGCCAAGCCCCACAGCCTTAGTTAGGTAGAAAGACAGGAGTGCGCTGCATAACGGGATATATTTTTGTGATCTCTTTTGCAAAGGCATGAAAGTATATATGCACATAAATGCTGACCACAAGCAGAATATTTTGCTAGTGTAATGGAGATAAAAATATTAAGCAGCTGTTTCCAGAGGAAGTAAAGTAGATCCTGACTGAACACGTTAAACCCGTATCATTGTAAGGAGAACATGATAAAGCAGAATGGGGAGTCAGATAGCTAATGGGGACAGGGGCTCTGGGAAATAAGAGAAGGACGGAGTTGTAAATATAAAGCTTTATATACACAAAGCTGTAGACATAAACTATGGTGCAATAAACAGAGGAAGGATGACTCTGAGGAATAGCAGGTTCATTTATTCCTCCCGCCTTCAGTCACGGAATGGATGGGGTCACACAGCACACTAAAACCAGATTAACAAAACACAACTGTTAGGTGTTTTATAAGCTTTCAGACTCCAAATACTATGGCTGAATGGATGGCCTGGTTCCTACAGTATGCTGAATCATAAACTATGCTACTCAATGTTAGCTTAGACTAGTGTATTGTGCAAAGCCAGTGTTAGGGTTTAACTCCATATAAAATTAAAAAATAATATAGTGCTATACAATAAATAGTATGGAACATACCCTGCTGTCTCTCCATCAGCCTCTTTTCAACAAATCTTTGTTCAACACACAATAAGTTAAATTTAATACTCACATACACCATATATTGCAAGCAAGGTTGGTCAACCTTCTTTGATCTAAAGACCCTTTCTATAAATCACTGTTGCTCAGAAATCTACTTCAGGTAAGAAAAAAGTGCTCTGCCTCTCCAAAGCCACATCTTTCTCCAGCTGGCCAAAAGAGTTACAATATAAAATTTAGCTCCTGATACTATTCCTGGCCAATCAAACAAATTTTAGCACTGTTACTTAGCGATCTAAGTACCTTCTTTTGGTGTGATGCATGTTGCAACAGCTGGAGATACTTGGTTTCCCTGAAATAACAAGATTCTATTTTATGATCTTCCAGATCTGCCTGAAAAAAAAATACAGGCAGAACTCAGGAGAAGGGAATGCATTTTTTTAGTAAAGGATACTTCAGCTATTCAAGGCCAGGCCCTACTATAAATCACAACTACTGAAACTGAGCTCAGAAAAAAACCTAGAACAAACCCTAGCAAAAGAGAAGCAGAAAGCAGTACAAATCAAAAGTGAGCCTCAATGGCTGTCCTTCACCATAAGCCAATGAAAGCTGGGAATACTGAAGCTTTATTGTATCTTGTTGCATACCAAGGCTCATTGCATACAGCTCCCCTTCATCTCCAACATTAAGAATCCATGAAGCAGCTATAGCAATCTACATGTGAGACACATGAGTTGTCTACTTCAAACAATCAGGCAAGTGAAACCACATTGTCAATGGTGACACTTTTGTTATGTGTACATCACAGAGATATTCTACATTTATTTGGCATATAACGAAAATGATAGGTAGATAGGTAGGTAGGTAGGTAGGTAGGTAGATAGATAGATAGATAGATAGATAGATAGATAGATAGATAGATAGATAGTGGCCACAGAACCAAGATAGATATGTGTGTGTGTGTAATAGAGTAATAAGAGAGTAAGCTTTGTCTAGTGCAGAGGTGTCAAACTTGCGACATTGTGCGATGTGTCGCGACATATCGTGACTTTTTTCCCTTTGCCGGAGCTGGGCTTTGGCATGACGCATCTGGCCCATGGGCCGGCAGTTTGACACTCTTGGTCTAGTGGTTAAAGCACCAGGTTAGAAACCAAGAGACTCTGAGATCTAGTCCCGCATGAAAGCCAACTAGGCGAGAAAGTCAGTTCAACTCAACTTGCAGGAGGGTTGTTGTGGGGAAAATAGAAAAGAGATATTAGGAATGTTCACTGCTTTGAGTTATTTATAAAAATAATAAAGGTGGAGTTTTTTAAAAAATCTAAAAGTAGGAACTTTCAATAGAAGAGAGTATTTGTGGCTCAGGGCTGAACTGTGAATTCTTGGTGCTCTCTGAGCTCAGTTTACAAGCTCAGAGAGGACCAAGAACTCCACAACAGGAATGTATGTACAAAACTGTGGCAATTGCAACTAATGGGGAAGACCTGGCAAGATGATTCACATAGTCTCCCTTCTTTAGACTTGCAGACAAGAATAAGCAAAAGAGGATTATAAAAGCCTTGAAAGCAAAATCATGATCAATATTAAATATTTGTATACTAGTATGTTGATACATTGAAAAACCTAGAATTGTACTTGAAATATAAAAGGAGACATTCAAGTAATCTCATTTTTTTTTATTCCAAAACCAACAAATTTTTAATCCTCATGACTACCTAAGAAAGTAAAGATTCAAGAAATAGATAGGACAAGCTATTTAATAGAAATATTATTACACAGCCTTCATTCACTCAGTAACTGCATCTTCTTATTTGTCATCCCACCCTGGCAAAATCTATAGACTTTTTCCTATGGAATAATATGGGGGAAAAGAGGCAAAATCAGCCCAAACCATGATAATCTAATCTAAAAGCAGAATAACATGAGTTTATTATGAATGAAAAATTTCAATATATTTGAAACTTAATATACAATTAATCATAGCCTCACTTAGCCTATAAAGGCACTGCTACAATTGGGCAGGAATGGAGGTGCTCCAATTTTGCTTTTGCAATAGTGCAAAATTCCATTTGCCTTCACCAGAACATCTTTGCTCTTACTGTATAGGTTGGATTCACAGCCATATGGCAGAACAAAGATTGCATCTCTCAAACCCAGGAACAATTTTCATGTTTATTTGTGAGTGTTAGGAAGTGTGTCTTGAAGTATATTAACGAAGTCAGGATCACTGCAGAGGTATCAAAACAGAAAAATCCAGATGGATCAGGCCAAGAGCACATTTTAGTTCAATATTCTGTACCACACAAGGGCCAAGCTAGAGTATTGGAGAAGCTCAGAAGTAGGATCACAAAGCACTCTTCTTCCATGGTTGATCTCCAACAGCTATTCTTAAAGGTATGCCTCTTGTGCTTTAAGAAGTGGTATAACAGTCTTGAAGGTTACTAGTTGTGTTAATCTCCTCCATGAAATTGTGAAGTCTCTTTAAAAGCCAAAACCATAGATGATGGCAATGAACTTCATAGTTTAACTACACTTTTGGTAAAGAGTAAGACATAAAAACTATTTTATGTAGTTAATAATATATTTATTATGGGAGAATCTATCATTGTTGTGATTCTAGACCAATTCAAGAAACAGTGTTTTGATTTCATTACCAATTGTTCAGAACCAAATATTCAATTACATTCACCTTGACCAGTGGTAGGATTCAAATATGTGAACAACTGGTTCTCTGTGTGGATGACGCTTCCGGAAGTCCATTCTGGGCCTGGGCAACAAAAAATTAGCTACCTATTTGCTGAAGTGGTGCAAACTGGCTGAATCCCATCACTGACCTTGACATATTGATAAGATGCATATCCACTTAATGTGAACATACATCAATAAACATGTATATTCCAGAACAAATATGCACCAAAAAGAGCTTTGAACTCCTAATACTGTATTTTTAAAATATTTTCCAATACCTCAGCTCATACATGTTATAACAGAGGTCTGCCCTTACCATATTATCTCCAACATTTTGGAAATAGGTATGCACATTTCACTGTTTGCAAGTATGTAAAAGAATAATTCTTCTATTCAAAGATGCACATTCAAACATTTATGCAATATTACTGTGTTCCTATACAACACTGGTCACTGTTGCAGGTAAGTTTGAATCTGTGTCAGTATGTGTGTATTCTGTCCACAAAATTGAAAAAATGTCCTCCCTGCAAATATAATCCGCATAAACATTTGTATGGGAAGAGCTGAAAAACTCCCCTAGAAATGTTTCTTATCAACAACTTGTATGAGCACAGCTGTTGAAAAGAGGTGGTGCATGAAGTATGCTTATGAGTCTGTTTGCAGTGTCTAAACTGCACCGGTATCTTCATTTGAGTCTTGTGAGTTTATCAAAAAATAACTATGGAAGTCTGTCAAATCTTTGCCTGCAGAAATAGGAAACAGACAGCAAATCAATCAACTCTTCCAATAGGCATGCAATGAGGACAGAAAATGTAACTTTCTGAGACCACAAGAGGAGACACTCCAATTCTTAACTTGGGCATATAAAGAAGTTTAGGCTTTGGACTAGAGATTGTAATCTATTGACTAGTACAAGATATTTTGAGTTTTAATACAGACCCCATAATATGTTGTGCTATCAAAGCATCATACATATTCTTTTTTTCTATATATTATGGTACAATAGCCTGATATATAGCAAGAGGGAGTCTTAGCAGAAGCACCTGATCCAACAAACACATTGTCTGGATTATGGATGCAACAAAGTGTTTTCCAGGCAGACATCTGGGAAGTGGGAATTACATCTGAAGAGAATTCAGTGCAGATGTTTGAGAGATGAAAACATGCATAGGCAAAATGGATGAATGAATGAATGAATGAATGAATGAACGACCAAAATATTGATCTAATACAGTACATATGGAGAGCCAAAAGAGGAAGAGAAAAATGAACTAGTGGGGGGGGGATGCTGAGCTGGAAGGAGATGCTTTTTAAAGAAGAAATTAGATGCAAGTATGGATGTAGAATAAAAAGTTGAATTATGTTCACACATCATACTACACTATAATTAACCATGGTTTATTATATTGCTATTGACTTATATAATACACATCAAGCAACGCATCAAGCCATAAACATGGCTTACAAACTACAATGATTGGATTCCTCCAACAGACTAAGCCCAACCAAGCAAATCACATAATTGCTTAACGTGGTGTACATATCCTGCCATGGGGTAGAAGGCAGGAGGATCCAGGGGTACAGGTCTTGAATGGGTGTAATCTTGGGGAACAAATAGCAGTAGTGTTAGTAATTGTGGACTACTGGAACAAAGTTGATAAAATGGACAGGAATAATGAAATAGGGCCATCATGAAAACCTAAGATTTGTTATGAGTGCAATATCACTTGGAGATTATATGACACATATGTTTAAGAGAGTGTAAGCTAAAATATATTGCAGACCCTTTGGCAAAGGACTTGGAGACTGCTTAGGCATAAATGTGGTTGTTGCAGCCAAAAGGAGGTAAGAAAATAAGGAGATTTTAGCTAAATTGGGAGACAAAATATTAGTGGATAAGTATGAGGCTGGAACCTAGATATACCTTTCAGTTTGGGAGGCTTTGGAGGCCCAGATAAGATGACATCAGAAAAGCAGAGTGTTGTTGGGGAATGCAGTTGCGAGGTAGAAACCAAAAGTTCTCTATGGAGGTAGGTAAGAGCTTATGGATTGACAGCTGAGCAGAACACAGGCAAGGCTGGTGACAAGAGAGGGAACAGCTACTGAGAAAGCCTTCTTTTCTTTGGAAATCTACCTTAAAGATAGAACTAAAGAGATGTTAAAAGTGAGAGGCCCTGTGAAAGACAGAGGACTTTTGCTGAGCTAATGACACGAGGCAAATGGGTGGGATGTATGGCACTTGGGATGGTGATTCAAAGGGCTGCCAGCAACAGAAGCCCCCTCCCATAGAGGGTCTCGTGGAACTGACCAGGGTTGGGCCCCTGAGTCCAAGCTGGCCAGCAACTGTTTTGGGAACTAGAGGGCCTGGGTGGACAGAGAGGTAAAGAGGAAAACAAGGCTGGGTTAAAACGGTGCTAGGGGTTTAGAAGGTTCCAGGAGGAAAGATGTTGGGAGCTGTTTTGGGGGGGGGCACCCACGAAATGATAGGAGGGGTAACAGACAACATGGCTGGGGAGAGCAGGTTAAGCAAAATAGAATAAACAAGAGGCAATCTCATGGGAATGGCTCAGAAGCCTTGGTGGTTGGTTGGACAGAAAAATGGAGATGCCCAGAGCATGTTGAATCCGGGTGGCTGAGGGAGAAAAGACAGACTATGGATGCTACGGCTCATGGAATTTCATCTGTATATTGGGGGGCTTTCTAAGGCTCAGAGAAGAGTGCGTGGGAAAGACGCAGGTGCTCTAGGTGCAAAGCAAGACGGGTGAGAGTGAAACGGCGCGGGTGGAGAGCAATGGAAGCCGTCGGGAGGCCGAGGATGCGGAAACCAGTGAGACATTGAGGCAAACGAGCTAAGGGAGGGGGAGGGAAGCAGAGATGCGGAGCCGGACGGTTTTGGACAGCGCTGCTGCGAGAGGGAGAAGGAGCAGAGGTTTCAGCGGCAGCCGAGGAACAGCCGGTACTAGGAGATGAGGCACACTAAGAAAGGACAGAGAGGACGGAAGCCGAGCAGGTTTCCAGGGAAGAGATGGGAGCTCCCGAGCCCGGTTCTTACCTGTCTGCAGCAGGCGCGGGAGGCGGCGCTGCTTCTGCTGGTGCTGATTCAAGAAGGATGCAGAAAACAGCCGGGGAGGGGGCTGATGCCTAACCCCCTCTCCCGGCTTTCAGGGATGGATCCCGTCCCCCCGAGAGAATCCACTCCCCAGCTCCGGCATCCCTCCCTCCCTCCCGGCCGGCCGGTCGGTCGGCCACCGCCTGGCGCCCCCCTCTAGCCCGCCCAAGCAGATCCAAAGGAGGAGACAATCCCGCCCCTTTGCCCAATGCAAAGCTACGGTGCCCCTGCCCCTTTAAGAAAGTCCTGACTGACGTGTATTCTGACCAACGAGCTACCCGCATACTACGGGGGAGCCCCTGAGTTACGGCCCACTCGTGGAGATGGGAGGGGAAGCCATACTCCGAGTGGCAAGGAGGCCAAACCAATGGATGGAGGAACTGGTGGGCGGGAGGGGAACACGAGAAACCAATTGGGGAAGCCTGAGGGCGGGGCTGATTTTTAGGATGATGTCATTCAGTGGTTTTTCAGGAAAAAAGAGGGTGGGGGGAGGAAGAGGAGGAGGAAAAAAATCAGATGCATCGCAGGTAAAACCGGTGAGGGAAGTAACAAACAAACAAAAAAAGCAATCTTTGGGTCGTGGCCCAAACAAACGTCCCAGCGTTTGTTAACTAATTGAAGGAAACCCGGCCGTCAGATAAAAAGAAAGAGACGTCGACAATTGTACAAAATGCACCAAATATTCCCACTGGCATTAAAAATATAATTCAAAAAGGTCTAGCTACTTGTATTACCTAGAAGAACACCTGAACCTGCGGAAGATGCAGCAGCCTGGACAAAGCATCAAGCACATTACTTTATCCTGAAGATGCACAACTCCACCCTAAAAAGGATCGTTTCATGCATGTATTATGAAAAGGGAAGCAGCAATTGAGGAAATGCACCAGTCCATGCGACATCAGAAGAAATTAATCAAGCCGCCCTCTATGAAAGAAAATGATGCATCAGTCTGTTTAACGGAGTGGAAGTCCTATACATATACCTCAGAGAAGAAGAGAGTACTCTGAGAAAAGCATGGATGTATGGGTGGGTGGAGAGAAGGAACTAGCTCAGGGAACATGTTTCTTCATTTTCTGAAAGAAAATTCATGCAGGAAAATATAAAAATCTTCTCGAGAACAAAACATGAACCTACTGTCCTGGAAGGGAAGGTGTTCTTTGCTGGCACTGTGGATGAAATGTGCTAGCTTAGGGAAACCAGCCCAGAAATGAAAATATATCAAGGGATGTTTTAGGGGAAAGTGCAAAAATCAATCCATGAAGCCAAAGAACTGCAAATCAATGCAACACAGAAGACAATCCAGAGATGGAGAGACAGCACATGCATCATTAAAGTCCTTTCCAGATGGTTAGGTGGAGGGGAATAACACATTTTATTTTTGGTGCTATATAAATGCTAGCGCTGAATCAACAGCAGTAGAGCACACTACGTTCTCCCCACATAAATGCTCTGGAGGATCCGAGAGGTTAATTTTCCTGACATTTTCTTTAAAAATGGGACAAATATGCACTTCTTTCATTAAACATTTTTAAAGAGACAATGAATACAAAACATGTGACAAATGACAGGATGATACTGCAAAAGGACAGGTGTATTTTGTTTAATTTTATCTTTAAAAGGCTTGGCATGTACTCAGCTTTTAAAATGTAATTGTTTCATTAAAATTCATCGGTGCATGGCTACTAGCCAATGGGTACAGTTCTTATGCAGCCACAGACCTTGGTGGCATTAGAAGACAGAATGAGGATGCTGTATTGGGTTTAAGGTTGGTGGTACATGGTTCCCCCTTAAACGAAATGCTATTTGCGGGATATATGATTAAATATTGACTTATACTTTTAACATAGTCTGCAAAAATCCCAAGATAATAATCAACAAGGTTATAATCATCCAAGCTATGTCAACACATGTAAGCAAAAACAATACACTAAATAAAGCATGCTAGCAAACCTCACTAAGCATTAATTTACAAGCAAATATATTAAACAGCAGAGTTCAAAAGGATAATTCCATATATGAAGATAAACCTGGGAAAGAACAAAAAACTTCATTTACAGTGTGTGGCCACAGTGACATAAATAAAATACATCTTTCCCTACAATTACAATTACAAATGCAGAAAAACTGAGAAAATACATACATTAATATAAATGGTCATAAAAAAAATCTGTTGGCCCCCATTTACACAGTCAATGTCAAAAGAATTCTAGTGGCTATACATACTGTGGATTCATGCATTTATAAAATTCCCGAAGGGCTAAGAAGATGGGCAGTGCATAAATGTTGAAAGCTTTTCTTTAGAATTGATCCATTGAAATTTAGCTCCAGTTCCTATTATTACAAGAACATAAAAAAATCTTATAAGCAATTGGTAACAATGTATATATTTCAAAAACATGCATTGCTGTTTTCATAATAAAGTTGATTTCCTTTGTGATGGGAATGTGTCCACCGTAAAATGTTCATCAATCAAACTAGAATTCCCTCTAGTGGCCTCTTGACCTCTCTCCTTTTTCACTACTATTCCCCCACGTTTGTCCTGCCTTTTCAATCGTCTATAAAAGACATGAAGGAAAATTTTGGATGGAAATGCAGTTTTTCTTCTACTGCACACTTGACAGGGAAAGCATTATTACCTTGATCTAGTCCATCACTGTGGCTGAAAACAGACGCGTGGGATACGGCTAAAGCATATTTCAGAGGGTTGGCTATAACCTATACCGCTAAAAAGAATAAAGAAAAGAAACAACAGTTAAAGTTGAAGGAAGAATTCAGAAAGTTAGAATCAGAATTACAAATAGATCCACAAAAGAAAATACTTAAGAAACAAATGGAGATAATAAAACACAAATTAAATCTAGCTGAGATGGAAATAATGGCTCAACAGATTAAAAGGGCTAAACAGAACTTTTTTGAAAATGCTAATAAACTGGGGAGATGGTTAGCACATAGACTGAAAAAAGAAAAAGAGAAAAAACTAATAAATAAGCTGCAAGATTCAAAAGGCGAATTACAGTTTCAAAGTGATCCAATTAAAAAAAATATCAAAAAGTTACTTTACAATGCAGAGGAAATTCCAAAAGAAAAATACAGCAGTATTTTTAAAAAAGTAAGACTTACCAAAAATTTCAGAGAATATTCAAAATATATTAAATGAAAAAATATCATTGATAAAAATTATAAAGGCTATAAAAAGGGGAAAAATGGTAAGGCTCCGGGTCCAGATGGATTACCTGCAGAGCTTTATAAATCATTACAAGATATACTAAATCCTATTTTGAAAGAACTGTGTAATAAAATACTTTTGGAGGCTAAAATACCAAATTCACGGATTGAAGCCAATATTACCTTAATACCCAAAGAAGACTCTGATCTAATACAAATAAAAAACTATAGACCGATATCGCTATTAAATGTAGATTATAAAATTTTTGCTTCAATAATAGCAGAAAGACTAAAGAAATTTTTGTCCAAATTTATACATATAGACCAAAATAGTTTTCTACCTAAAAGACAGATAAAAAACAATTTAAGAATGATTTTTGATATGTTAGAGTACTATGAAATTCATCCAGGGAAACAAATGGCTTTAATGTTTCTTGATGCACAGAAAGCGTTTGAAAGTGTAAACTGGCAATTTATGTTTCAGCAACTAGCGAAAATGGATTTTGGAGAAAACTTTATAAATGTAATTAAAACAATTTATTGTAAACAAACAGCCAAAATAATTATAAATGGAGATTTTACAGAAAACTTTAAAAAGGCACAAGACAGGGATGCCCACTATCTCCACTATTATTTATACTAACAGTGGAAGTATTGAATAGAAACATCAGACAAGATATAGAAATTAAAGGACTGAAGATAAAAGATGAAAAATATAAACTACAAGCATTTGCAGATGACCTGGTTTTTATATTGGAAGATCCACTTGAAACAAGCATTGAACTTATGGAGAAAATAGAAAAATTTGGAGAAGTGGCAAGGTTGAAAATGAACAGAGAAAAGACTAAAGTGCTAACAAAAAATCTAACAGAAAAACAAAAAAAAACAGCTAGCAAAAAAAAAACAAATCTTCAAATAGTTACAAAAGTTAAATACTTGGGAATTTATCTAACAGCAAGATGCGTAACAATAAAAGAAGCTAATTACGTAAGATTGCTAAAACAAATAAAATTGGATCTGGAAAAGTGGAACAATTTACAATTTTCTTTTTTTTATTGAAAAGTTTTACAAAAAATTACAAAATATATCCTAATCCCCCGTTCCCCCCCCCATACTTCCCAGAGCTGAATACAGGGTAATAAATATAATAATCATAATCTATCTAACATTAACCAACTATATAGATAAACAAATATAATGCACTTTAACTTTCTTTTACATAAAATTTCCACTATATTAAATTATTATTAATAATAGTAATAATAACAATAATAATATTCTAAAATTTATTCATAAAATAAATGGAACTTTTAGTCCCATATTTATTCTGAATATAATCTATCCATTTTCTCCAAACCGAAATGTATCTTTCTTGTGAATAATCCTTCAAATAAGCAGAAATCTTAGCCATTTCTACTAAGTTTGACACTTTAAGCATCCATTCTTCTATAGTAGGCAAACTTTCCTTCTTCCAATATTACCCTACCAGCAGCCTTGTTGCTGTTATTAAATTCAACATCAAATTAATTTCTTTAGCATCAATATCTACTATAATACCCAATAAAAATAGTTGAGAAGTAAACTTTATCTTTGTTTTAAAAATATTCTGAATGTTCCACTAAATTTTAATCCAAAAAGCTTTTACATTTCTACAAGTCCACCAAATATGAAAATAAGTTGCATCCAAACTACCACATCTCCAACATTTGGGCTGCAAGTTAGGATACATACAAGAGAACTTTTGGGGATCCAAATGCCACCTATAAAACATTTTATAAAAATTTTCTCTCAAACTTTGAGCTTGAGTAAATTTTACATTTCTAATCCAAATTATCTCCCATGTGTCCAATAGAATCGGCTCTTGAATATTTTGTGCCCATTTTACCATACAGTCTTTAACTAGTTCCGTTTCAGAATCCAATTCTATTAAGACATTATAAATTCTCTTTAT